TATACTTATTAATAAATATTTATAGATTAGTTATTAAGCCTAACTAATTATAACTTTATTTTTTAGTAAATTAAAGTATTATTAGCCTTTATAATACTAGTTTTTAGTATTTTTAGGGAATATAAAGTACTTTAAGTACCTAATTTTCTTTTTATAAAGGATTTTTTAGTAGCTTAACCTTTATAATAAGGTATTTTTGCCTTTTAAATTTAATAATAATAGCTAAAATCCCTTTAATTATATAGTAGATATATATATAAGGGGCTTATAACCTGTTAAGAGGGATATATATATATTAACTATAACTAACTAAGGTCTTGGGCTAGGTAGTCTGGCTAATATATAAGGTAGATGCCTCAGGCACCTTTAACACTAGCTTCTGCCGTTGGGATTTTCAAGGGTGGTCTTGTCGAAACGGTTTCCGGTTCAGCGTTAGTTGGTGCCAGGATGCCTGGTGTTGAACGCCATGAAATGGCTCACAGCGATGAAGCTTGTAGAGGTGTTTCATGAGCCCCAGTGACAGCTCAGCAATTCTCGTAAGAGTATCAGCTATACCAAGGTTAGAGCCAACAGTCTCACAAGGCCCAACAGCCTTTTAGCAGGCCAAACAGTCATTCAGCAGAGCTTACAGTCCTTCACTAGGTTCTGGATGCCCTCAGTTCTGCGAAGCAATGGCTTGTCGTCTCTACCTTCATCCGCTGGTCATATCGACAGCGCAGCAATTCTTCTTCATTTACATTGCGGGCTTCACATCTCGCACATCAATCCTTCGCCCAATTGGATTCATAATCTTTCTCCTCTCGACTTTCATTGCGCTCGCTACGTTTGAAGACTTTGTCGAGCCACCAGGATGGGTCTCGAGAGCCATCATCTCTGCATTTCCGCAAATCTCGTTGACGTATTTTGAGCGCATGATTGTGCGAAAAATAGCATACGCTGAGGATCTTGAGAAGAAAGATCAAGAGCTTCAATCGACGATCGCGGAATTTCGCAAGCGATATGTCTTTGGACAAGAAGTTGCGTCCTCGATGAGAGGTTTAGGCACGCCCTGGGAGATCAGGAATATTCACCACTTTGACTCTCAAGACCCAACATACGTGCCTGCTGCTACACCATTTGTGTGTATCAATCTTCTTAAAGTACTTCTCTGCTATTTTGTTCACAAAATGTGCATCACGACGCAGTTAAGCCTCGATCAGCAGTACATGGCTCCAAACTACGTGCCCATCTTTCGCCGTATTAGCGAAGTTTCACTGGTAGAGCTGCAAGTTCGGTACGTGGCAACCGTCACAACAGTTGTTTCAATTTTCTGCTTCATCCAAGGCGGTTACTCTCTCGCCTCTGCAGCATTGGTAACAATGAATCCGAAAGCTGTCAAAGATTGGAGACCGATTTTCGGTGAATTGACAGAGTCTTACTGTCTACGACAATTCTGGTCGTAAGTTTTCCAGAGTATTTCAGTGGACGAGCGCTAATTTTTCAGCACGTTTTGGCACCAAGGGCTATAAAATAATCTGCGTGGCACTGCGACGTGGATTGTCAAGAACATCTTTCACATCAAGTCTTATTCGCTTCCTTCGCGGTATTTAAAGATTCTCCTTGCGTTTGCACTATCTGGCTTGGTTCACGTCCCAAGCGACATTGGCAGCGCAGTGTCTGCGAAAGATAGCGGAGCGATCCAGTTCTTCAGTACGCAGTTGATTGGGCTGATGCTGGAGGATGTGTTTGGTGACTTGTTTCTTCCACTTTGGAGGTACAGGGTTACTCGGGTCGTGGCGAAACTTGCTGGGTATTTTTGGGTTATTTCTTTTCTTGCTTGGTCTGGGCCAGTTCGGTGGTTTCCTGTCATTTTACAGCAGCGTCCTGAGACTGAACTGTTCAGGCTCAGTGCTTTCAAGCCGATGGAAAAGGTTATGAGCTGTTGGTGATATTAGAGTAGGATTGTTTACACAGAATTAAGCAGAGTTTATGAGATCCTCCATATCATAAAGCGTTTCAGGCAGCATCTCCGAGATGAAGCAGCAGCGCAACACGCTTCAATTGCTCATAACAGCTAATCACAAAAGAACGGTAAGTGCCTCGAAGAGAAATCTTACCGCTTAAAAACGCCTTGAAGCCATTTGTGCCATGTCTGGCACAATTGCTCGTCCGTGGTACGCATGTTTCACACAACGCAACTTTTGGGTGCATTCGCGCCGAAACAAGCGACAATCAGTGCTTTCAGTGGCTTACACGCACTAAATTTAGTACTAGCCCACTGTAAACCGTGTACTTTAACACTTCTCGTCCTTCCTCCAACCTTGACCTCATTAGCATCACGACTTTCAGGCAACATGATATCACTTCTTTACGCCATCGGCGGACTCTTTCTGGCATATATTGGCCTGAGTACACTGCAGCTAATTTACAACTACAAGAAAGCCAAAGCTATTGGTCTTCCCGTTCTCGTCACGCCAATCGACCCCTCTGTAAGCTCAGCTTCTCTCCAAATGCACCGTAGCTAACGACTTTAGAATGTCCCATATTTGCTTAGCAGCAGCCTTTTGGAGCCTCTACTAAGAAAAATTCTGCCATTTGGGCTTGGAAATTTTGTTGAATACAACCGTCGAGACTGGAATTATGAACAGATCCATGATCTTCAAGAACGAATTGGCGATACGTTCATCATCGTCAGTCCTAAGCAGATCCGCGTGTTCACGGGCAATGCAAAGGCTTCTGACGATCTCTGTCGCCGTCGCAGGGACTTTGTGAAAGCAGTGGCGCTCTACAAGCCACTAGAGATCTTTGGCCGCAATGTCGTGACGACTGAAGGAGACGACTGGGTCCGACATCGAAGGATCACGACGCCGCCCTTCAATGAGAGGAACACCGCGCTTGTTTGGGATGAATCCAAGAGGCAGGCTACCGACATGCTTAGGATGTGGGCATCAAACCCGAAAGGCGTCGTGAACCCTCAGAGCGACACCATAGTTCTCGCTCTCCATGTCCTCACTGCTGCTGGGTTCGGCAGAAGCTACACCTTCGGCTGCGGTTTGGAGAGCGCATTGGAGAATCACAGCCTCACGTATCGGGATTCCCTCAGTCGGTAATCTCTTCACTGCTGTCTTTACAGCAACACTCAATCTGCCCACGTGGATGTTGCCCTCCAGGTTCAAACAAGTTCAAGATGCAGTCGTCAACTTTCGACAGTACATGGCTGAGATGGTCGCCGAAGAGCGCGAGGCCATGGATGCTGGGCAAGAAGAAAAGGACAACCTCATGAGTATTCTTGTACGAGCATCTGAGAACCAGCACACAGAGGGCAAAGGGACTCGTCATTTGACAGACTCCGAGATTTACGGCAATTTGTTCAGCTATAACCTGGCCGGTCACGAAACAACATCCAACACTCTTGCTTACGCGACAATCCTCCTCGCAGCGAATCCCAAATGGCAGAAATGGGCAGCAGAAGAGGTCGATCAAGTCACAACCGGAGTCGACTTGAAGGACCTTGACTACGAAACATATTATCCCCAACTGAAGCGCGTTCTCGCAATTATGGTACGTCTGCCACCAGGCCAATTGATCACCACTAACAACACCAGCACGAAACACTCCGATTATTCGGCGCAGCAAGGGCAGTTCCTAAAACAACACTCGTAGACCAAACCCTCAAAGTCAACGGCACATCATACACGATCCCCAAAAAACATCTTTGTCGGCGTCAATCTAGCAGGCCTGCACACATCCTCCGCCTCATGGGGCGACAACGCGCTCCAGTGGCTCCCCAGCCGCTGGATCACCGCCGACGAAAAGCTCGCTCCCATGCCCACGGGGGCCTTTCTCCCCTGGGCTGCAGGTCCACGAGTCTGCCCCGGCAAGAAATTCTCGCAGGTAGAATTCGTAGCCGTCATGTCGTGCCTCCTCAAGGACTACATCGTGGAGCCTGATGCAGAAAGCGACCTCAAGGAGGCGGCGTCAAGGGCCCTCATGAAAGAGGCGAAGCAGTCTAGTTTCAATTTCCTGCTCAAGGTGAAGCACCCTGAGAAGATCAAGCTGCGGTGTGTGCGCAGAGTCTAGTTTAGCGTAGAGGGTATACATATGACAAGGCCGTGCTTTAGCGGGTGTTGCTAGGTCTTGGGTCGTATGTAGGGCTACAGGGCTTGAGTGGAGGTGACTGTACATCAATGCTACGCGTTCCAGAATGAATCCTTTCATTTAGACAGAGTGAAATAACTTTTTGTCTTCGCAATATCCCGGGTCTTAAACGGGACCCGCAAGCCACGATGATCCTTGGTGTTTGGCCCGCTATCTCGCTGCTACGTGTCAGGCAAAGCATGATTTTATCACAAACAGATTCAGAATCTCAGTAGACTGGCCCACTACGTGAGAAGTTCATCTTTAGTTTCTACCTTTACAGCATAGCCTGGTGGCCAGTGGAGGAATTAGGTGAGATCTTAAATCGCTTTCATCACTTGAAGGAAGTCTGCCGTCAGCATTTCTGCAGCCAAAATGCCGCTGCACCCGTTCCTGTCAACGTGACTTACAAGTTCATAGGTGATCATGAAGACACACGCCCTGCAAGGGAGAATTTTCAGTGAAGATATCGTGGGGACATGAGATAAACAAAGATCGCGTAGATCTCTATCTAACCGACTTGCCTCCTTGCCTCCGCCACCAGCCCATCCATTCACAGTGCAGACCACAATCACGAGCATCCCAAGGGCTGAGCAAACCAAAAAAAGGTCCCTAGAAAGACTCACTAGTCGTTTCATCGACGATACCCTGCCTCACGTAATGGTTGGCGTGTGGATAACGTCCACCGAGCTGACAGTCAAGAATCCCATATCCCAGTAATTACCAACCTGTTGGTCGGTAGCCTAGACAGTAGCTCCATTTATGGAATTCAAAAGCATTTCTTGCATGATAATATCCGGGCCGGTGTTTGACAGCGGATATCCACAGGTGACAATTCTTTTATCACACTGCGAGAATGCCTTCTCTGAGAATGCCATCAAGAGTTTTGAAGGACATGTTCGATTTCGATATGATGAACGCTCCTTTCTTTAACGCTTCGGCCAGTATTATTGCCCTGGTGGCGGTATTTCTATTACTCTCTACGCATTGCGTTACTACGATTCGGTATTGGATACAGCGGTTTCGTGATCGTCGATACAAGGGAAAGGAGCCATCGACACTTCCATATGTTCTACCGGGAGTTGGTTCGGCACTCAGTCTGATTAGAAATCCCCATGGATTCTTCAATTCTATTGTGTAGGTCATTTATACCTAATGTATTTCCCAACTAACATCTCCCAGACAAAAGGTCGACAATGGTGAGCCCATCCGTATGCGTCTGGGCAACGTCCACGCCTATCTCATCCACGGCACAAGAAACGTTCAACAAGTCTTTCGATGTTCAAAAGAACTCACCTTCGAAGAGTTTGCTCTCAGAGTAGCTCAAAAAGTCAAACGTCTTCCTGCCAAAGATGCTGCGTTAGTGGCAAAAGATATATCAGGATCGTCACGGCTACCATTAACTGAGACTCGTGAGGCAGATCGAATCTGGAGAAAGTTCCATGAGATCTACGAGTCCCACCTCATTGGTGCCAATGCGGTATCTGCTCTTACAGAGCTGTTCATCGATACCATGATTGATGAGCTCAGTACCGTTGCAACTCAGGGGCCGATTGAGATTGGCATTGATGAGTTTATGAAGCATCATATGTTTCGAGCTTCTACCATTGCTCTCGCTGGTCGAAAGGTCTTTGACATTGATCCCAACTTCGCAGATGTGTTTTGGGATTACGATGAAGATTTCATGTCTTTGCTCTATGGTATTCCCAAGTTTCTCTGTCGAAAGGGGTCCAACGCCAGAGACAAGTGCTTGGAGACCGTCAAAGGCTATCTCGATCAAGGTTGGCAAAATCTCGATTGGAGAGCTTGTCGCGAACAAAACCCTGATTGGGAACCAAACTTTGGATCCAAGCTTGTTCGTGAGAGAGAAGTTGCCATGGAGAAATATGGCATTGGCCTTGATGGGAGGGCTTCTTTTCAGATGGGTCTCATCTGGAGTATTAACTCGAATGCTATTCCGATGACATCCTGGATTATCATTGAGATTCTCCGTCGACCAGAGATTTCCAAAAGAATTCAGGAGGAAGTTGCTACAGTCTACGATAAGAACACCAAGCAAGTCGACATTGTGGCACTGAAGAAGCTGCCATTACTCAACTCAGTATACTTTGAGTGTCTTCGTCTACGATCATCAGTGTTTGTAGTCCGCAAACTACGAAACTCGATTGAACTAGACGGCTACACACTCAAAGAGGGCAATCTGGTCCTCGCACCATCATACCTTGCACACAACGCCCCGGAAGTATGGTCATCATCTACACATCCTCCAGAAGAATTTTGGCCAGAGCGCTTCATCAAGAAAGGTAATTCTGGGATCTCAGCAGGCAATTATTTCCCCTACGGAGGCGGCGCGGCAATGTGTCCGGGGCGGAATTACGCTAAGCAGGAGATCCTGTCTGCGGTTGTTCTATTCTTTGCACGCTTTGAGATTGAGCCGCTACGGTTTGTGGGTCGTGATGGGAAGACGTCGGATAGAGGGCCTGAGGTTGGAAATGAAGCGAGGGGTGTTGCAAGGGTTGATAGGGATTTACTTGTCAGATTACGGCGCGTTTAGGATACCAAGAGTCAATTGCTAGGGTCGTTTTTCTATGATTAAATCACTCAATTCTGCATTTGCCAAGTTTAATAACTCAAAGTACGAATGTAATGTCTAATTTACTGTATAAACTGTTTGATGACAGAGACGGGCACCAATCGGTCTCCAGGCTTTACGACTCTTGCAGCAGGATATACCCATGAAGGGGTCATCAAGTATATGTAACACAAGACCCAAAAGTATCCGAACCGTCTTGACCAGGTCCCCTGAACACCTCGAAAAACATGCTGAACTCCATCCTTACACATAATCACCAGGGCTGTTGTAAGAAAGTAATTGATAACGTTAGTCTCCTTTGCAGATATCCCAAGCGCCCTGTCAGCGGGGAAATGCAAAGCCCCAGAAATAAAGAAGCATACGATAAGCTTGCAGTAACGAGAAACAAGACCCTTTGGCATGTGAAGAATCCCATGGACAAGGAAGTCTGAAAGGGAGGTAAGGTGACGTCGTAGCGTCTGATGCCAGAAGTTACCCCAGAAGCGCCTAACGCTGTAAACATCGGAGAGACTACCCCAGATTGGGGGTAGCATTTCGACCGGGTATGACTTTAGGCTGAGGTAAAGCAGTGAAAAAATACTATTGATAAGATGAATAACGCAAAAGGTGTTAAGCCAGAAGCCAACCATTATATTAAACCTAAAGTATATTTTCTAACCTTATAATTAACTCATAAACTTAACTCTATTACTACCTTTTAATTACCCTAAACCTTCTTCTAGTCTAACCTTTTTCTTAGCCTTAATTATACTAATATATATATTTTTATAAAACTTTTTTTAGGTCAAGCTTTTTTTATATATTAGTATTTCTTAATAAATCTAATAACTATATACTCCTATACTTATAGAAAGTCCCTTTTAGCTAAATTACTATTTATACTTTAAATATAAATATAATTTAAGCTAGATTTTACTA